TCCGATCTAAGACTCAACTCTTTTGATATTAAACATAGAGTTGACTCACAGAGAACATTCAGCGAGATCGCCAGATTGCTGTTCACGTTCTTCTGATGCAGCTGGGGAGGGGGGGTCAGCCCCTGCTTTTCTCCTCCTACTGGGTTCCAGTGTATCAGGAAGGTCCCTGACTGAGATCGAGGCCAAACATCCAAGTATGGAGGTCTGTCTGGGTCCAAACTGCGGGATCCAGCTCCAGGGGTGCATGCATCCATCTGGGACCCATCCTTGTGGGACTAGGTTCAGAACCTGTGGTTCTGAAGGGAAGTTCAGGAAGGCATGAGAGGTCTGCATGAAGAAGCCTTATAAGTACTTACAGGAGGATCAGAGCTCCAGCCAGACAGAGTGGGATCCTCTGAAGGGCTCAAGTGCCAGAGGGATGTGTTACCAGGCTGAGTGATTAAATAGAACATCCAGTTGGCAATTAAGATAAACCAGGCCTAGGGGCACCTGGGTGACTCAGTTGGTTGGGCAGCCAACTTCGGTTCAGGTCATGATCTCACAGTTCGTGAGTTTGAGCCCCACAATTGGGCTCTGTACTCATGGCTCAGAGCCTGGAGCTTGCTTCAGATTCTGTGTCTCCCTCTCTCTCTGCCCCTCCCCCGCACGTGCTCGCTCACTCAGGAATAAAAATAAACATTAAGAGGAATTAAAAAGGAAAAAAGATAAACCAGGCCTAAAAGAAGTGCAATAAAAAATAGTGACTTGGGTGGCTTTCTAGACCCAAAGAAGGGAAGGAATATGCACATTCCCTAAGTGTCCACTAGGTGGCAGGTCCTCTCCTATACTAAGAGCTTAAGAGTATGCATCCTTAGGCATTTCGGGATACAAAGGTTTTTAACAGTCATCCCGAGGGCTGGTTAAAAACACAGATTCTTGGGCCTCTTTCCAAAGCTTCCAGTTCAGCAGTCGGGAGTGAGGCCTGAGATTCTGCATTTCTCACAAGCTCCTGGTCCAGCGAGTGCCACTGGTTGGGGCACTTTGAGCACCACCGAATATATCATCTCAGACTCTGGGAAGGAAGGAGCGGGCAGGAGTAGTATGTTGCCCTTGTGGCTAAGCAGTCAGTTCAAGTTGTGACAAAAACTCCAGGGAGGTGTAGTGTGGAGACAGAAGGGTGGCTTGGGGAAGGGAACGAGGTCACTTGCTTCTGGTTGGAAATAGCCTCTGGTGCTAGAGCAGATTTGAATGGTGGGCTTTGCAGCAGAATATTAGGTTGCCAGAGTTCTCATTCTAGCTAAATGGGTTACCAGTTAATGTCTTTAGAAGGAAGATATTTCCTTACCACCTGCAGCAGATGGAAACGCAGGTATATGCAGATTAAAATAAAAGCGGTATTCAGACCAAAATGAAAAACAAAACATTAAATATATACCATAAATAAGCCAAGAGAAAGACATCAATAAATCTCTAAAGCATAATTATTTGGACTGAAGGACCATTTAAAAAATATCCGGTCCATTATAGCTCAAGACATGGTTCCACTGCACAGGACTGTGACATAGCTGTGGCCATGCATGACTGCCCAGGCAAGTTTGACAATTCCTGACTGATCCAGACCCTGTTCGGTGAGGTGAATCCACTGAACGTGTATTTGAATGTCAGTGGTAATGTCAAATTGCTGTAAAAGTTTCTAAAGCTTACTCTCAGTTTCTGTATTTGCATCAATGGAGAGTAATAATGACAATTTGTAGAAGGGTACTCATCCACAAACTACCCTTAGAGAGGCACTTACCTAGACTGGGTAGATTACTGACCTGAGAGACGTGCTTATTGTGTAACTCAAGCAGTCAATTTGTTGTTTTGGCTCTTGCACTGTGGATCCTTAACTTTTTGTATATTTCAGGCCATTTAGTTCTTGTTAATTCCATTCGGGGTCCTTGAAATGGGGCTCTTTAGATATGCTTTTGGCCTTGATGCTATTGCTTCATACTGAGACCTCAGGAGTAATGTCCTACACATAGTAGGCACTTAATAAACACGGATGGGTTAAATGCATGGAATTGTAGCCCAGGACTGAGATACCAAGCATGTTTGGGGGCTGGAAAGAGATAGCCAGGAAATAAATATCCAACATAAAGGGATATCAAAACAGAACTCTCCTCACAGTGATTTTCTACAGGTGGTAGACAGGCAGAGCAGATGAAGAAGAACCAGCTCCAAAAAGAAAAGAGCAACTAATCAAGTTGTTTCTCTGGCCTCACTGGTGCCTGACTAGATAGAGGTGTCCAGGGGTGCCTGGGTGGCTCAGTTGGTTAAGTGTCCAACTTCGGCTCAGGTCATGATCTCACAGTTCGTGGGTCTGAGCCCCGCATCGGGCTCTATGCTGACAGCTAGCTCAGAGCCTGGAACCTGCTTCGGATTCTGTGTCTCCCTCTCTTTCTGACCCTCCCCTGTTCATGCTGTCTCTCTCTCTGTCTCTCTCTCTCTCAAAAATAAATAAAAAACATAAAAAAAATTTAAATAGAGGTGTCCACTGTGAATGACTAAAATTCAGTTTATAAGATTCATGGACCATGACAATGTAGGCCTTCCTGTGGCTTTTTCACGCTGAGCCAAGCCATTAACTCATGTTCATGCCAAGGTAAACCCTACTGGTTACTGTAGAAACTACTGGAGAATTTTCCTTAGTTGTTTTCCTTTTAATACTAGAATCCTTTTTTAAAAAAAACTGTTTAAATGTGTTTACTTATGTTTGAGAGAGAGACAGTGAGAACCAGGGAGGAGCAGAGAGAGAATGAGAGAGGGAGACACAAAATCCAAAACAGGCTCCAGGTTCTGAGCTGTCAGCACAGAGCCTGATGTGGGGCTCAAACTCACGAACTGTGAGATCATGACCTGAGCCGAAGTCGAACACTTAAGTGACTGTGCCACTCAGGTGCTCCTCCTTTTAATACTAGAATCTTGAGGAAGGACTTTAATGTAAGAATTTAATTATATTTTCTTATTAAATGTTCTCTGACTTTCAGCAAAGGAGAGCTTAATGAATGCAAAAATGGGTGATCAACTCTAATCTCTCTGATATGTCATGCCTTACCCCACACTCATCTGTCCTATTCGCCTTTTCCATTCCGTACAAGGTTATGTGCTGCACAAGGAATTTATGTGATTTAATGGTGCATAGCTAGTAATACTAATCACAATAATAATGATAGTTGCCATTTAGAGAGCCTTTATGAGAGGTACTAAATTCTTAAATATATCATCTTATTTAATTCTATCAACAATCACATAAGTTTGCTCAAGGACAGAATGGAAGGGCTAGGAATCTAGCCCAAACTTGTGACTTTAACCACTGTACTGTAGTTAGGGTCTTGGATCCAAATAGAAACTGTTTCCTTTTGCTTTTAAGATAGAACTACAAACTGAAAACTAGACAGTATTAGGAACTCTGGGTACCCAAGGCTAAGACTTCTTGTAAATGATAGAGACATAGATGGAGCCTATGAATGAATAGATGAGTGACTGACTGACTGACTGAATGAATGAGTGAATATGGATACCAACTGTGAATGAATCAAATTTAGTTTGTGAGGTTCTCAGATGATGAGGATACTGCAGTTTCATGTTGGCATTTCACTATAAACCAAGGAGTGACATGGTTTTGATGCCAGCTCATAAATTCTGAAGATACAATCTGGTTACAAATTCAAGACTAAATCTCAGTTGTATCTCAAACAAATTTGTGTGCACACGCACACACACACACACACACGTCCTATGTGCTCTTTCAAAAAAAACCTTATTTTGTTCTTTTTTAAAACATGCTTTGCAGTTTCTCAAATCTCCCAAATAATAGACAGGCAGTTCAAACACAAATCTTCCCAAAGACAACATGTATAGTTTTGACTACACTCAAATCAGAGCTCATACCACTATTTTATTATTTTTTGATAATTCTATTTTCAATTGAAACAATCTACACACTCGACTTTCCAGGTCAACTGGTAGCTCTAAGGAGATTTTCATGTGTTCTCAGAAAAGCTAAAGGAGCCGCTGTTTTTTGATAGAATAATCATGTGTTTACGTTCAAGTTAAGACACTGTGTAAAAGTCTTTCATGGCTCATACGGAAGAGCCTTTACAAACTTTCATTAATATATCTTGCTGATTGATTGCCGGATTTCCAAATGCACAATCTAAAACTTAGTCATGAGTCAAAACCATTAAAGAAGAACCAGAAAGACCTTTTTCCCCCTCACATGATAAATTGAAAAAGAACGGAACATCCCATGAACATGGACATTTAAAAGGACAAATGAATTTACCAAGCACACATTTTGGGGAGCCTTAAGACAATAAAGCGATCAGCACAAAGACATCTGTCAGGGTGGAGGCAACCTGAGGTAAAGACCAGTTAAATCTAATGCAATCAGGAACTTAGGCGAGTTTAGCACTTTTTTTTTTTTTTTTTTATGAGGTGACAGCCTCCTAACACCATAATCTTGCCTTTCAGGAAGATGACACAAGGATTTGATGAGTAAAAGAAAACAACTTAAAACCTCTCTTTTGAGCATGAATTGTCTATTGGGGCTAAAGGTAGTCTTTGAGATCCCATTAGCCATGGCACAATTGGGAAAAGAAACGTACACACACATACACACATGCACACACACGTTTCAAAAGCAAGTATAGAACGATAGCAATGCCTGTTTCTACTCAGATTCAAAAGCAGAATTAAAGCCAAAGCTAACAACCCTTCTGCTAATTAGAGAAATAAAAATGTCTTCTCCCCAAGTGTCTAATGCAACATGAAACTGAAATTAACTGCTTTCCTTTGGGACTAATTTATTTATGTTCAAAAGAAAATTTGGGGATAAAGAAGCCCTGTAACAGAACAGTTGGGGAAAACACATGGACACTATGCATTGGGATAAACAGAGCTGAGCACACAGTTACAACAGAGATTTTTTTCTGCTTGTTGAAGAAGCACTTGATATGGTCTAATAAAAAGCGGGTTACCTTTACATTTCTTCTCCTCTGTTTGGAAGGTCTGGGCACTTGGGACACTCTGATCATTCACATCGTCATGGTCCAGGTGGAATATTGAGCTAGTCCAAGTGGCCTGGATGAGATGTGGTGACGACTGTTCATTTTTCAATGTGCTGCGCCTCTCCGCATGGCTCTTCCTATGTAGACAGGCTTCAGACATTCCTACTAGCTTCCAGTCGTGTTCTCGGTCTGGACAGTGCTTTGGTTTGTCCCAGGCTGGAAGGCCATTTTCTGGAGGGTTGAAAAACACGAGATGACGAGCTGTTGGCATTGTCAAGATTTTGTTGAGATGCAGTTTTGGAAGGCAAGTTGTTTCTCAATTCTTTGGGGCTGACAGGATTCACATGCACCTCCACTTGATGGCAGTGATAAGATGCAGAATTTGTCAGCCTTGGGCATTTAGCCACCACAGTTGGATTGCCTGTCGGAGTAATCAACACATTCCCCCTTATTTTTAGTGCCTACAAAGACATTAGTTCCCCCATGGAAAGGCTGTACTTTCGCCAGCCAGGCTTCCACAGCAATGGCCCCGGAGCAAGTTTACACTAATTTATGTTACTGCTTAGACGATCGTTTGAGGTCTTGAGGGTCAGGGCTGGCCATGAACACTTTTCAGATCCTTAGGACGTAAAACATCCAGGATTCAGCCTTGTTTGACTTTGGTTTTATCACAGGCTGACCTGAGGGACACCCTTGTTACTTAAGTGGGACATACTCACGTGGCTCCTCAGAGAGTGACAACTCAGTCCTCCCTACCACCTTCTTCCCTACCAGCCTGATAAAAAGAGACTGGATCTTCAATTTTAGTATATGTGCTGACGAAGCGAGCACGAGAGACTGGATCTTCAAATGGAAATTTGTAAATGTTGTCCCAAGCTGGCAATGAGATCCGATGGAGGAAAGCAGACAGTGCTTTAGTTGTGGGGTAAATTAGCAGTCCTAATGATAAAATGATAAGCTCGGGATCGCTTTGGTTGAGGTAGAGGCAGTGAATTATTTATGTATATGGTGTTGTTCTTTCTATTTAATTTATGGGAACTGGAAAAATCTACCCTCTAGAAAATAGGTAAAAGTGGAATAACATAATGAAAACTTTATCACACTCATCTTTCTTGGTGACAAGTTTTACCTCCTTGAATATCTTTATTGTACATGGATATAGGGTAGAGAGTAAAAATGAACAGGCTAATGGATATATTTGTATATGCAAAAAAATTTTAAAAGAAACATAATCCACTTGGCCATCCATATTTCTAGAAATTTTTAGGCTACTGTTGAAATGTGAAAAATACAATATAGAGTTCTACTTTAAAAGTTATCATATACATGGGACGCCTGGGTGGCTAAGCCGGCTGAGCGTCCGACTTCGGCTCAGGTCATGATCTCACGGTTCGTGGGTTTGAGCCTCACGTCGGGCTCTGTGCTGACAGCTCAGAGCCTGGGGCCTGTCTTAGAATTCTGTGTCTCCCTCTTTCTCTGACCCTCCCCTGCTCACGCTCTCTCTCTCTCAAAAAAATAAATAAAACATTTAAAAAAGTTATCATATACCATGATTGAAAGACTGTAATATATATGTGAATTCTCCTTTATGCAGAAATTACCAAAGGAGCAAAGATATCCATATTAGAGAGAAGAGTCCATCCTGATCTGTGCATAGTATTGGGAGTCTTTTCTTTGAATATTTATTTATTTTTGAGAGAGAGAGAGAGAGAGCATGAGCAGGGGAGTGGCAGAGAGAGAGGGAGACACAGAATCCAAAGCAGGCTCCAGGCTCTGAGCTGTCAGCACAGAGCCCCACGCAGGGCTTGACCTCACAAACCACGAGATCATTCATGACCTGAACCGAAGTCGGATGTATAACTGACTGAGTCACCCAGGAGCCCCAGTATTGGGGAGTTTTAAGCTGCCTTTCCAACATTTAAAATGATTTTTAAAGTATTTAATGCCAGAGTTAAAAATGCTTTAGGTTTTCATAAGCACCCTCTCTAAAGGACTAGACGTCTTTAGTTGTTGCTAGGATGATTCCTCTAAAAGTGTGACCTATACTCTCAGTCACTTTGGACGCTGCATTTACCCTGTGAGAGTTCAGGTTACTATGTGGAAATTCTAACACACATACACTCTCTTTCTACTCCAGGAGGCCCCTGTGAACAATGACAACAACAAATAATCAACACATGATTTCTTTGTCACCGTAAACGGAAATGCTGTGGCTTGAAATAACAAGGCCAGTAAGCAATAAGTCCATGCAAAGAAAGAAAAATCCTACACAGTGACAGCTTTTGGATATAACATTTGATCTGATTCAGAGAAGAGCCTTGAAAATTCACTGTATGCAAACGGCTATGCTACGCACTGTGTGAGGTCATGGGTCCTTTCTCTTTGGAACTTACATGGCATTATTCAATGCATGGTGACTCAAGAAATCTGGACTCAACCACAATCAGCTACTGGTGCAATTACAGGTACCTATTCTCACTATCCATTAAAACAAGACAACAGATTAAAATAGTGGGGGATTGTATTGCAGTTCAAATTAAACATATCTATGGAGAATCCATTCAAGTTTATTATCCAAGAGGGTTTGAAGTTTTCATGAACTAAATATAAAACTACTGAATGCAAGGGTTAATTATGGGCCTAAAGAGATTCATTTTATCTACAGACATGAAAAGCCTTCTGACCAATGCATGTTTCAATGATGTCTTCTTTGTTTTCAGGGACTCTCTAAATCCTTGGTAAATTGCATCTTGTAAAGTTCCATTTTAAGTAAGGCTAAAGTTATAACACTATTTTGTAAAGCCTCCAATGTTTGTTTTTTCTGCAGAAATTCTTAAAATTTGGTATTAATTCCCCCGATCAAACAAAAATTAAGAAATACAACCAAAATGAGTAGTCTCTGCTCCCCAGTGAAGGCAGCTAATGACCACGCTTGGATGAGAGATGCTGAAAGGAACTCCACCCAAGGGGACATTCCTCCTTAAGCACAGCCTATTTAAGCTTGCTCAGCATGTCCCCTGGGTCCACAAGAGAAGGGATTTCTTCTAAGCAAGGGAGGTTATGTTTGGGGTGAAGCAAGGGATAAGATTGCCTTCCATTTTCCTAAGAAAAGAAGTTGAGATGGTTTTGGGGAAAGGGCGTCTTTCATGGGAGGCATTTACGGGCTCATAAATTACTGACTGTAATTACATTCGTGATAATGATATTCAGCTGCTTAATTGGCAAGTTTATTGGTTGGGGCACCTGCTGAGAAACCTGGGGACTGAGAACTCTTGGTTGGGTCATGGGAAAACTCGAGAGGATTTTATTTAAGGAGCGTTCTTGATTCTTATCCTTCCCAGAAGAGGGAGACACATATGGTTCCTATTCCCAAGCAAGGATAAGATATCCACTATACCAAGCTCCTTAAATTCTGCCTACTGAGAACCAAAGTTACCTCCATGTGTGTTTGCTTGGCAGTGCCGGTATTCAGGGGTACCCTGCTTTTTCTATGTCTAATTCTCCTATCCTTTGGTTCCCCCAAAACTCAAATCAATGAGGTATTGCTTTGTAGAGGGAATGAGTCAAAAGATTAAGTCAGCCATTCTCACACCTTAGTGAGTGACAATCACCTGAGGCGCTACTAAAGAACATAGAAGACCAGGCCCATTGAAGTGGGATAGGGCCAGGATATTTGTATATTTACTAAGTTCTCCAGATGATTCTGACACCTGAGAGACTTTGAGATCTACAGGGTTAAGAAAATTGAAGGCAGGAAAACAAATTACCAGCAGGTTTCAGATAAGGGCGCAGTCTCCTTCTCACACCTGATGTTTTACACAGCCTTGAAGTAAATTTGCTTTATAATTAGGCAATTCATCGACTGTTTGGGGATCAACTGTGTGAAGCTTTAAAAGCCAGATGTTATGAAAATATTCTCGGTGTCATAATCATCAGGGAAATGCAAATTAAAACCACAATGAGAGATCACCTCACACTTGTCAGAATCAAAAACACAAGAAACAATAAGTGTTGGGTGTGGATGTGGAGAAATAGGAAGCTGGTGCACCATTGGTGAGAATGTAAATTGGTGCAGCGACTGTGGAAAACGATATGGAGATTCCTCAAAAATTCAAAAATAGAACTACCCTATGATCTGCTAATTCTACTACTGGGTATTTACCAAAGAAAACAAAAACACTAATTTAAAAAGATATATGTATTATATATGACTTACAATAGCCAAGATGTGGAAGTAACATAATAAATTATGATGAATGAATGGATAGATGAATGGATAAAGAAGTAGTTTACACCCATGTGTGTGTTTACACACACACACACACACACACACACACACACAGAAATTACACAGCCATAAAAAAAGATGAGATCTTGCCATTTGCAACAACATAGATGGACCTAAAGGGTATTATGCTAAGTGAAATAGACTGAGAAAGACAAATATTATGTGATCTCACTTATATATAAGTAAAATCTAAAAAACAAAATGAATACACAAACAAAAAGCAGAAACTGGTACATAAATACAGAGAACAAACTGATGGTTGCCAGAGGAGAGGAGAGTGAAATAGTTGCGGAAAATGGGTGAAGGGAAGTGGGAGACACAGGCTTCCATATACAGAATGAAGATGGAATAGGCATAAAAGGCACAGAACAGGGAATATAGTCAATGGAATAATAATGTGTGGTAACACAGTGGCTACTTGCAGTGAGCAGAGCATATTGTATAAACTTGTAAAATCACTATTTAGACACCTGAAACCAATGTAACATTGTATGTCAACTATATTTCAAAAAAAGTCACATATTAATTGGATTTTATCTTATAGATGGTGGGTATGGATGTAAATAAGGGTTTGCGTAAAGTCAGTTCTAGGCATTAATTATATGGGACACAATGTGAACAATAGTAGAAATACATTTAAATTTTGTAAATGTTTATTTTTGAGAGAGACAGAGAACACAAGCAGGGGAGGAGCAGAGAGAAAGGGGGACAGAGAATCTGAAGCAGGCTCTGTGCTGACAGCAGAGAACCAGATGTGGGGTTGGAATCTACAAATCATCAGATCATGACCTGAACTGAAGTCAGATGCTTAATCGACTGAGTCACCCAGCTGTCCTGAAATACATTTTTTTCAAAAAGGAGGATTCTAGGAATGATCGTTATCTTGTTATTCACATGAACTATGAATCCTTTGCTCTTTAATGGATTCTAGCTAATACCTAGC